TCGGCGATATCAAGGCGCTCGATCTAAAGATGACTTCCTGAGCTTCATTGATGAAAAGAAATGGCAGAGCATAGAGCCGGTCTCTTCCTGGTTTGGCCCTTCATCCTTCCTGTGAGTACATGCTGTGTATGTGGGTGTGTGCTGGGGCTGGTTTCAAATGGGATAATAATGCAGTGGCCCTGGGCGAGTCTGGCAATATCTCTAGAAAAGGGAGTTTAGAGAATCCACAGCATGTGGTTAATGCTGATTCACAAGTTAGCTCACTTTTAATGTAATACTGACAGGCTATCTTTACATTTGATTTGATATAGTTTCTGTGATTGACTTTATTTTATTTTAGGATGAACGCAATGTCAGCCCTCTTCAAGTTATCCATGTTCATCAGGGTGAGTGTGTATGCCTATTAATATATAGCTGTTGCATTCTTGTCAGTTTTGAGAATTAATTTTTGAAATTATATACACTATTTTCCTAGCAATTCTTTGAATAATTTAGAGTTATAACTTACAGGCACAAATAGTTTATACCTCAAGCTAATGGTGAAGGAACTAGTAGCAGACACTGAGAGATAATATAGTCAGCCAGTCAATAATGCAAAATAAACCTCTGACTTACGGCAGAGGTGACTCATATCACCCTGCAATAAAGATTGCCTGACTGTAAATTATCCTGCTTGTGACCTGGCGACATAAATAACATTTTGAAATGGGATTTGGTTAAAAAAAAAGTTTTAATGTTTTATCATTTTGTAAGCATTTAAAGCCAGTATGCCTCACTGCAAAGAAATACATTTAATAGTAAACACCTGACTTCCTGACTTGATAGTCTGCTCATGGATGTTTTCATGCAGTAATTGAAATAATCTTTTAACATTGTGTTTCAGCATTGCCATAATTACTTAACGGAGCAGCTGGGTGTCCCAGTGTGGGGCTCGTTTGGGATATTTGCTTTAGCAACACTCATCTCAGGATTGGTCCTTGGATTGGTGAGAATGCACATGAAATACACTAAAAGCTTAAAGGGGTCATATGATGCTTTTTTAAAGATCATTATTTTGTGTATTTGGTGTAACAGAATATGTTGACATGCTTTAATGTTCAAAAAACACATTATTTTTCAAATACTGTACATTATTGTAGGTCCTCTATGCCCCGCCTCTCTCAAACGCTTCGTTTTCTACAAAGTCCCTCCTTCCGACAAGCGCAGTCTGCTCTGATTGGCCAGCTGACCCAGTGCATTGTGATTGGCCGAACACCGCAAGCACTCATCGGAAATGTAACGCCCATTACCATAATCGCGAGCTTCAGCTTTCAAAATAAATGCAAAGACAGAGCCCGAAAGCACACACACACCTAATGCGCAAAACTCCGCATTTGAACAGTCAATAGCAAATACTTACACTAATAACAAAACAGTAGCTGATTCAGAAGCGCCAGATTGTCATAGCAAAGTCAGAATTACCTCCTCTCCTAGGTTCACGAAAC